ATATCTATATATAGAGATATATATATATACATATATATATATATATATATATATATATATATATATATCTATATATATATATATATATATATATATATATATATATATCTATATATCTATATATATATATATATATATATATATATATATATATATATATATATATATATATATATATATATATATATATATATATATATATATATATATATATATATATATAGAGAGAGAGAGAGAGAGAGAGAGAGAGAGAGAGAGAGAGATGACCTTGATTATCTGGCCTTGTTCTCCCTCTTCCTTGCTCTTCACATGCTTCGTCTTCAAGTTGATATCCTTTATTACAATGCTGCTGTTGTGTGTAATAATTCTGGCGACTTCGCCGATTTTGCCCTTGTCCTTTCCAGAAATGACTTTTATGGTGTCACCGAGTTTGACGTGCATCTTGTGTAGCACCGGCAAGCTGTTTGGTTTGCACTCTTTTCGCTCCCATCGTTTAAGCTGAAACAGAATTTTCATCAACTTATATTGCTGTTATCGGTCGTGGTTAATTCGTAAATCTCGGAACTTCTCATGTAGAAACACATAGCAGAAATATAGAAGTGCAGGTTATTTCTATACTACCTCTCGATGCAAAATTTCACGAAGAAGTCCGTTTCATTTTATAGTTGGGAAGCAATGAGAATGTGAGTATAGCAAGTGTAAAGGATACGGAAAAAAATGGTAAATGAAACTAAAAATATATATTAACCTTTGAGACGATTGAAATCGGCTGCTCTTTTGATTTAACCTGGTACAGGAAAACCGAAAATTAGTACGACAAACAAAAGTTGCTTCCGAAATCATATAAAACCAATGGAAAATACACACATCTGCAGCGAAAATATTCAAGCTGAGTACATCAATCTATCTATCTATCTGCCGTCGTCCGACTAGTTTAGATAAATCATTGCTCGGATATTGTGCAATAACTCAGAGGTAAAAACAAATCCAGCAATACACTTATGTATGGCCAAATCCCTAATTCATCTGCTTCAAATTTCACTCTCTTTTAGATAAATGCCAGTAAAAACAGTTGCAGAAGGCCTAATGTTCACACACACACAAACACACACAGTTAGATGCAGATGGCCAATCCCTACACTTGCAACTGCTCAATTGAAACCCTAATTAGCCATAGGGGAAAAAAAACCTAGTAGCCGTTGCTTAATTTCATCACTAATTTCACTAAATAAGAGTCTTAATTGTCGGAAAAACCAAAATCATGGACAAACAATTGATAATTTGCAAGAGTTCATAAGAAAAAATCGAGGAAACTAGTTTCGCAATGTGTGTCTACAAATGAAAGAGAAGGAAAAGGGGGGGAAATTGAAAACGCACCGCAGGAAGGTGGATAGAGGGGGCGAAGCTTTGGCCGAGGAAAGAGTTTGCCGACAGATTTAGCGACGTAAACGAACTCCGTAGAGCCGCCATTTTCTTCTTCTTCTTCTTCTTCTTCTTCTTCTTTGTCTGTGTGTATTTTGCTTGAACAACTGTGAATGATTATGAATTCAGAGGGGATTGGGAGAAGATAATATGCAGGAAACGATTTTTTCTGTCAGGTACTCACTGGTGCGGTTTTCTACGGTTCGATATTAAATCTTGTAAAATCGTGTTTTATCGACCATTTAATATTAGAACTTCAACACTGAATCTCTTACGAGAAAAATCATATTTTAAAATCTTTCGTTTCTTTTTGGCCAAGTCATTTTTTTTTTTTTTTTTTGTGGTTCAAGTAGCTTTTATTTTTGTCTAATTTACTTTTTAAACTCAACCATGTTTCAATCTTTGTAAATTTAAATTTTTCAATCCAATTAATTTAATGCAATGTTTATTAAATTCAGTTTTTGCCCCAAGTAAAAGAAATTTTATTTATATGCATCTAGCTAGATTATGGTACTATTTTTCTTTTTTCTTTCTTGGAATGCAGTGTAGTAGGGTAAAGTTCATTTTCACCCCTGTGGTTTACCATCAAAATCAAATTAGTCCCTGAAGTTCTAATTTACTTAAATATCATCCTCATGCCCAATTTTGCCACCTCAAACATATTTTACTTAATACCCACATTGCCCTTCAAGATCCAGGGGACAAAAATGAAATTGATCTAATTTGATAATTTTATAGGGCGAATGGCAAAAATGCCCATCACATGGGACTTAAAAACATTTTGGTGCACAAAAAAAACAGTCTCTCAATTAAACCCATCCCCATGTCTTTAGTCTAAAATACCCTCAATAATATAGTTCTTATCAATTCCACCCATTATGCTCTAACTTCCTTAATATTACACATTGACCCCGTATTTAAACAAATATATCATATTAACCCCCAAGACTTTTTTTTTCAGAAAATAATTTTTTTTCAGAGATATTGTTTTACCGGCCTGATTCCGGCGTTGACTTTTTTTTTCCGGCCGGTCAACCACCGTTGACCGCCGGTCTCCGGTATTGACTTTTTTTTTTAAAATTTTTTTTCCTAGAAAAAAAATATTTTAGTTAAATTACTGTTGAAAACAATAATTTAGCATCCAAGTCAGTAATATTAATTAAAATATTTTTTTTAAGAAAAAAAAGAAAAAAAAAAAGTCAATTAACAGTTAAATTACTGTTTCCGACAGTTAAATAACTGCTGGAGAGTAATTTAACAAACGAATACAGTAATATTAATTAAAAATATTTTTTTTAAGAATAAAAAAGTCAATTAACAGTTAAATCACTGTCTCCAACAGTTAAATAACTGTTGGAGACAGTAATTTAGCAATGAATACAGTAATATTAATTAAAATATTTTTGAAGAAAAAAAAAATCAATTAACAGTTAAATTACTGTCTCCGACAGTTAAATAACTGCCGAAGACAGTAATTTAGCAGCCAAGACAATAATATTAATTATTATTTTTTTTAAGAAAAAAAAAATTATAAAAAAATTTGAATTGTCAGAATCCTCAATGGTCAAATAGAATCCTCAATGGTCAAATAAGATAAATCTCATTTTCATCCCTCAAGTTTTACCCCAGTTTAGTCACAGATTTAGTTAGGAGTTAAACTTGTGGTTAATTGACCCAAGTTCGAATCCCCTTGACAACGGTCGCTAGGTCGAGCTTGTCACACATGGTTAGCCTAGTGTGGTTTAAATCTCTCGTATGGTTTGCAAGCTATTATACGAGAGTGTAGGTTTACCCAGTGCACCTATATGGTTGGCTGCGGGTTCCTGCATTATCAAAAAAAAAAAAACTTGTGGTTAATTGGTTAATTAAAGGAGAGAGTGTGTGACTGGGAATAGGCGGTTTAGTTTAGTATCTTGCAGGGTAATTTAGTAATAACAGATGATCGTGTATATATATATATATATATACATATATATATATAAATACATATATATATATATATATACATATATATATATAAATACATATATATATATATATATATATATATGGGCTAATTGCAAATACCACCCCTGTGTTATCTCTAATTGGCAAATCCCCCCTGTGGAAAAAAAACTCACCAACACCCCCTTGTGTTAACAAAGTCAAGGCATCGACACCCCTGGACGCAAATCGTGTCACACACTCGCGGGTTGAGCGATTTTTAATGGTATTTTTAGGGTGAAATGTCATAAGTACCCCTTTATAAAATAAAAAATAATCTTGTTGGTTATATTATGAATAAACTAAATTTATAGGACCAAATTGTAATTTTCAGAATTGCAAAATAAAATAATAATGCAGAAAAATATTATAAAAAAAAAAAGAAAAAAAAAGGAAAAAGAAGACTGAACATCGTCTTCTTCCTTCCCCCATTCCCCACCCCAAAACCCCAACCTCGACAAGAGAAGAAGAAGTTCAGCACCACCACCTCATCTTCTACAATCCCCATACTAGACCCAAATCCGTATAACCCGAGGCTAATTCAGCCCTAATTACAACCCCCAATTACAGCAATGGCCTATCTAACATCTTCAAGCGATTTCTCTCAACGGCGACGATTTTGATAATGGCCGAACCTGCTAGGTCCGAAATTGCGTCTTTGTGTTCCTTTCTCTTCTCTTGCTCTTCCTTATCGCCCACCACCGCCGTCAAAATAAGAGATTGGGGAAATCTTTGAGGCCCGCGTAAAGTTTGTTGGTGGAAACTAAAGTTTCAATAAACTAAAATTTATTGGTCGACCGCGGATCTAGAGAAGATGGTGGTGGTGGTGGTGAAGGAGAGGTGAGATGGTGGTGAGCTGCGGCGGAGCAGAAGTGGCAGCCCTGGAGAAACGGTGGGGAAGAAAAAGGCTTTTTTTTTTTTTTTTTTTTGTTTTTTCTTTTCTTTTCTTTATTTAATATAGAAATGTAAAATAAAAAAAAATAGAAAATAGAAAATATATTAAAACTTTTAATGTTATAATATATATTTCATTCTGTTTAAATATATATATATTTTTTAATATTTAAAAAAATATATATATAATATTTATAAAATTATAATATGTTTTATTAATTGCTGCAAAAATCCACAAGGGCATTTTTGTCATTTTACATTCAGTCAAAGCCTAAAATCACAAAGGGTGCAGTGTGCTTCGAAAATGATAACACAAGGAGGTGTTGGTGAGTTTTTTTTTCACAGGGGGTTATTTGCCAATTAGAGATAACACAAGGGTAGTATATGCCATAAACTCATATATATATATATATATATATATATATATATATATATATATATATATATATATATATATGTATATATATATATATATGAGCAACTCCAACCCATTGTTATCAAATGGGGTTATCAAATACTCATTTGATAACTAGGATTATATTTTGATATCTCTATACAACTAGTGAACTCAAACCACAAGTATCAAAAAATAATTATCAAAAAAAATTATGATTATTTATATATTATTTATTTTGTAATTCATTTTAAATAATCATACAAACCGATTTTTGTGGTAAAATTTCATCAAAATCAATATTAATCAAGTTTTTACCTTTTCAAAGAGAAAAAAAAAGGTTTATCATGTGCATGTGGATATACCACAACTGAGATTTATAATTGAACAATTCAAATTTTCCACAAATCCGCAATACTTTGACTGAATTGTACCAAAAATATTATTACGTATAAATTAAATAATTTATGACAAAGTCTTAGTTTGATTTCTTCAAGTCATATCTTCATAATTTTTGGTTACATTAATTCTATATTTTTGCCTCTATATAATATATAATAACATGTTTGTGATGTAGATCCTCGACTACATCACTTGTTTTAAAACTCCATTATCTTGTATTTAGTTATTTCACCATGCATGGTCACATTCATTTAATGGATTTCTTATCCGACTCGGATTCCGATGATCTTGAAATGTTGCTAACGGTTGTCGAAGAGGAGGAATTGGAGAGAGAAAGACAACATAGGCACTACCGCGTGTGTCAGTTCTGGGTCGAAGCGTAGTCAATCGTGACAAAGTCGAAGGTCACAAAAGACTCTATTGTGATTATTTTCTGATAATCCTACGTATCATGCAGGTTATTTTAGGAGACGATTTCGTATGCACAGACCCCTTTTCTCTCGGATTCTTTCTAGCGTTGAGGCCTACGATCCCTATTTTGTTCAAAGAAATGATGCTCTAGGCGTTTCTGGTTTATCATCTCTTCAGAAAGTAATTGCTGCATATAGAATACTCGCATATGGAGTTCCTGCCGATCTTTTGGATGACCACATACGCATAGGTGAGAGTACTTCTATTGAAAGTTTACGACATTTTGTGAAAGCGATTGTTGCCATTTTCAGCGAAAAATACTTAAGAGCACCAAATCAGGACGATTTATCTCGATTATTGCAAGTCAACGAGCAACGTGGATTTCCAGGGATGCTTGGGAGCATCGATTACATGCACTGGAAATGGAAAAATTGTCCAACTGCATGGCAAGGTATGTCTACGGGTCATTGTCGCACACCAACTATTATATTAGAGGCCGTTGCTTCGCATGATCTTTGAATATGGCATGCTTTTTTTGGAATGCCGGGATCGCTAAACGATATTAATGTTTTAGAAAGATCTCCCATCTTTTTAGCATTAGCCAATGGCCATAGTCCCCCTATTAGTTTTACAATAAATGGGAATATTTATTCGATGGGCTATTATCTAGCTGATGGCATTTATTCTTCGTGGGCTACTTTTGTAAAAACAATACCAGCTCTAATAGGTTTAAAAGCCAAATATTTTGCACAATCCCAGGAATCTGCTAGAAAGGACGTAGAACAAGCTCTCGGGGTACTACAGGCACGTTTTAATAATGTGCGTGGACCAGCAAGGTTCTGGGATGAGGAGACATTATCTTATATAATGAAAGCATGTATTATCATGCATAACATGGTTATCGAAGATGAAAATGGCCCGGGTAGTACTGATTTTGATGACTTAACTCCAAATGTACGACATTCATGTGAGGGCACAAATGAGTTTATGGAATTTATTCACACACATCATCAAATACGAGATCGTACAATTCATTCTCAACTCCAGCACGAACTTGTTGAACATTTATGGAATTTACACGGTCAAGATCATTCTTAATTTACATTATATAGAACGATCATGATTTTTACTTTATTTTTTTTACATTGCATTTCATAAATTAGCACTTGACATTTCTTTTCTATTATTTAAATAAAACCGATGGTATATTATTTTCATTTTGCATACGTAAGAATAAAGGTGTGGAAATGACTTTTTTAAAATGAACTTTCATTTCTTTCTCATAGCAATATGCTCAAACCATGTAAATGTAAGACAAACACAAAATTTGTAAATAAATTAAAAAAAAATAATCCTATGTAGTCTGTTATTATAAATGGCACAATAGCATTATTTTGTAAGAAATAGCACAATAGCATTATTATCAAAAGTAAACTAATTATATTATATCATTCTTTCTCAATACGTTATTGTTCTTCAAATTCCAATAAGCTGCTTCAGTTTCCCCCATTCCAGTAGTGTCTTTCAACATAATTTCGTTATTGACGCGCTCTTCTTCTATGCATTTTACATTTTCATTCGATGCTATAAGCCTCTCGCGCTGAATCATTTTTTCGCGCTCTAAAGCCATCTTCTCTTCCCAACGCTCATTTATAAGTAACATTGTAGATGATTTTTCACCTTCTGAACCTTTTTCTTTTCTCTTCAATTTTTCTTTTGAAGATTTTTTACCCGAAGGCCGATCCTTATTAGCAAAACATCCATTTTGATTTTCTGATGGGATTGAGACACCATCAAGATTTTCAAAACTAGTAGTTCCCTACTTATTTCTTTCACAAGTAACAAGCCACTTCCTCTCATGTTTCAAAAGATCTAAACAATGCACAAACTTGAATTGATGTTTATTGGTGGCAACATACATTTTTCTCACTTCTTCTAACTATGAAAAAAAAAAGTTAAAATAAATAAATAATAATATCAATATGAATAGTTGAAAAGAGAAAATAAAATGAGTGTATTACCCTTCCATGATCAGTTTGACCAGATTGATGCCTATTATCAATTTGTTTAAGACAACTAATAAACTTTGCACATTTAGCATTTATATCATGCCAACGTTGTTTTATGCTTTGCTCCGTACGCACTCGTTGACCGCAATTCATTACAAATTGATCATAAATCTTCTTCCAAAACATGGTAGATGTTTGAGCACTTCCACGAGTAGCATCTTTACTTGTATTTAGCCATGCCGAAACAATACAAACATCCTCTTCACGAGAGAAATTTGTCGAACTTTTTTGTTTATTTGAAACTTCGACTTCAGTTGTGTTCCCACATCTATAGTGGAGTTGATCGTAGAGCTTTCTTCGTACGCCGGCATATCGCCATTAACGAGATTAGTGAAACCCCCATAGTAATTTGAATCCATCTACAGAAAAAGTGGAAGAGGAAAAACAAGAAAATTAGCTCACCTCATCACACCATCAAGCACATCCCAACGTTCTTGAACAAATTCACCATTTATTTTATTTAATTAGACTATCAATAAATAATTTTTTTTACTATTTAGTCACTGTAATATGTTAAAGTTTCATAAGATTTAATCTATATGTATATGTAGTGATTAATTATCTATATATCTTCATCTAAATTTACTATCATTAACGTGCAAGCAATGTAAAGAAGTACGATTCTCAAACAATCATAAACAATTAAAAAAGTATTAAAAAGTGCTTAGAGTTTATGATCATAAAAAATATTAAAAAATTAAGAAAATCTAGAAATTACTGCAAGTGTCTTCAATGGTGATTAATACACCGAGTCGGCCTTGGATGATTGTGTGGAGAATTTTGATGTGGCAAACTTATTATTTATACGAAGAATTTTTTTTTTCCGTGGAAATTCGGTGAAGACCTAGAAAAAGAAAATCTGTTGAGATTTTTTTGAGATTTTTTTTTCCAGTGAAAATTTATTGAAGACGTAGAGAAAATTTAATTTAATTTTGTTGAGATTTTTACGTAAAGAAAAGAAAATTCAATTTTGTTGAGGTTTTTCTTTTTTCATGTGCTCCTATTTTCTAGGAGAATATTTGATAATTATTTCTTTAGGATATATTTTTACTTCCCGATATTTGAGTTATCAAAATAGAACCCTATTTTAATAAACCCATTGGAGGATAGACTTTTTAAATTTGGGGAGTCAAATGGAGGTTAAGGGATTTGATACCCCATTTAAACCCCGTTGGAGTTGCTCTAAAGAGATTATTTTACATACCCCTAGTCACCAAATAAACTAGGGATAACCCAAGCCCAAATCATCTTTTGACATACCTTGCATTTATCATTTTCGCTGATTTATTTATTATTTTTTTTTATATTTTTTTATTTTTTTATTTTTTTATAAACCTGTTTGTTATATATATATATATATATATATATATATATATATATATATATATATATTAATTTTTTTTTTAAATTTTCAAAACAATATGTTTACAGTACTGAAAATAACTACATGTGACTATAGTACCTATAGTAATTCATAGTTATGTTCGTTTTTTTCCTCATATTTTTAGTCGATCAATTGTATACACACACGAATACTGACTTATACAAAATAAATTAATAAAACCCCAACAAAAATTTACAAATTTCAATATTTTTATTATAAATCACATCAGAACCAAAAAAATACAAATCGAAAATACATAAATATACGCATATGTAACTACATGTTATTATAGTAATGTATACAGTCTGTTGAACAAATCAGATGTAACTTAAAAAAAAAAATTTGACACCTTCAAGGAAAGGATCAATGGCCTTCATTAAGATGCAATTGCAAAATCAAAAACAAAAAGAAATTACTTTAGTGCAAATCAACAAAATTTGAAGAAAAATATCAAAACACTCAAAAATCAACAAACACTAAGAGATCGAGAGATAGAAAGAGAGGTTATTGCTGAGAAATGCTACAGATTTTAAATCAAATAGACAGTGACTCCTCACCCCCCTTGCCTCCTACCAAAACCCTAGACGCCGCTAATAACCACCCACAGTTCCGCGCGCCCACAAATACAAAAAAATATAGAAATAAATCTGAAAACATAAAAATAAACGAAATTACCATCAAAATATAGATCCCGACGAGACGAATCCAACGATGGGTGACCCGGCAAATTTTGACGGGTGGAACACAAAATAATGCTCCGGCAAGACCACCGTCCTCGAATGAAAAAATTGCAGAAATAGATCAGCGCTCGAAACTGAATGAAATCATCACCAAAAGAAAGAGCTCGACGAGAGGAATCCAACGGTAGTTAAACCATCAAAATCCGACCACCGGAGAGAGAGTTATGGCTACGGGAAGCAATTTCGCCAGTGGGAGGTTTGTGAAGGCGATATTTTGAATTTGGGAGAAGAAGAGAGAGACCGTGAGTGGCTAGGGTTAGAACTGATTTTAAAAAGGTATATATGAACTTCAGGGTAGCACAGGAGGGTATGTCAAAATATTTTCGAAATGAAAGGGGTTTCCCCTAGAGTGTAATCCACTTGGTAGTTAGTAATATATAATTTGGAAATGAGGGGATCTATAAAATAACCCCATATATAAAATATAAAAACGAAAATGAAATGGAGCCCCACGCGCCCAGAATTTGTTATAATATATTCTTCGTCTCTCCCTTTCCCCCCCCCCCCCCCCCCCTCCCACAAAACATACACAGTCCACCCTGCACACAGTCCACCGTTCTCTACGCAAAAAAACACCCTCTCTCTCTCTCATCTGAAACAAAACAAGTAATGGAGGCATTGATAGAAGCGCTCATTTCTGTCGAGGAGGAAGATTCAATCCCCTCTCACGTTCGATTCATGTTTGTATCGGAGGAAGAGAGAGAGGATTGGATTCGAGAAGGTGCGATTTTGAGCGTACGGAATTTGTTCGTGTCGGATTCCGATAAGGTGATATACAACGAGAAAAACACCCGATGTACGGTATGCTACTACACCTTCGTCGAATCGGAAGTTATAGCTTGCTTCGTGTGTTTCGAGGAATTGTTGGAGTTGAAGTGTGAGCACATTTTTCATGAAGCCTGTTTCGAAAAAATTGCAGCGGCGTGGGAGAAAGACAGAAAGGAGGGCAGGGTGATGGAGCCTCTGAGATGTCCGGTGGATCTGAAACGTTTTGGTTTTTGAATGGCATGTTTGGATACATTCCCCACTCCGGAATGGAGTTCGACTCTCCACCGAGGGTTAGGCGGCGGCAGAGAAAGGAAAAGGGGAAGGGCAAGGTGGTATAGGGAGAAGGAGGAGGAAAGGGGAAAAGAAAGGGTAAATTCAACGTTGATTTGACACCTGTAAAGTTCAAAGCTATAATAGAGAATATTGACTCGGAGCCTTGTGGGAATTGCAGAGGGGAACTCGAGAGTCACGAGTTGGAGCACATGGTGTTGATGTGTTCGCACTATTTCCACACTGTGTGTGTTAATCAACAGAGAGAATCAGGCGCAGTGACTGTAA